ATTGTACAGTGGCATTAAGTGCTGTAATGTACACCTCTGCCTATCGCTTCGGGGATAAAAGGCGTGATGTTATGTTATGTGTCATAATGTTCTCTCTAAGTTGTCATACGAGCATATACTAACAGTATTCACAAAGGTGATGCCATGTAAGAGACTGTGATGAACCATATGGGCAGAAGAAAGCTGGTACAGCGGAGATCCATAATCGGTGCTTTGGCTTGGGCCCGAGCGGTGCTACATTGCAGACTAAACGCTCCACACTTCTAAGTTCACCTTGCCAAAGTGTCTGATAAAAGGAAAAATCACATATGACATAAGCTTTAGCACAGCTCTAAGAGGAGAAAGTGATATTCAGTTATTCTTTCTCTGAGTTTCATTACAAAAACTGCAAGATTATTCATGAATCTGTGCATAACCCTACGGCGTTAGCTACTCAAATCTATTTCTTTAAAATTTGGAACAATAAAGGAAGAAAGTTTAAAACTTTTGCTACAAATCTCTGCCTTAATTTTAAAATATTATCAAAACTTTCAGAATTCATTACACTTACCTTAAATCGACTGCGACCACAGCCCACCATATTACTTTTCGCCCAAAGGATCTGTGCAAAATCGCCGTAATATTTGCTACCATTACCTGGACTATAAACAAACAGACAATTTAATGTGGCATTACTTTTTGACACAAATAATAGGTACAGTTACAGAGTTATTTATACTATCACATATTTATAGTAATAGTCACTTGCGGCAACAGTTGATGAGTGCAACAGAAATGATAATGTATATAACACAAGCGATAGTACACACAGCAATAAAATAAATTATACAGCAACTAGATTACGAATATTTGTTAAAATAGCATCTGTCTCTCTTCTTACAAGAGTTGGAGTTGTCGTTGAGCGTGGCAGACTACCGAACGGGCGGTAACGTACATACGTAACTGCTCATTTCCATTGCTACGGGTACAGGAATATACAAGATTCTTATGTTGTGGGAAAGATATTTGGATACTCAACTCACGGCACATAGGAGGTGATACTGTTATTGTAGAACGTGCTTTGTATGTACCAAATGTCGACCATTTGCTCAACTCGGACTGGCGTGTCGCCCACTACCGACGACACACACTGACCAACTGTCAATGAATCTGAAGGAAAACCACAATATTGTAAGCAAGAGAGTCTCCCACACTTAAAAGAGTAACTTTTAAATGTGGGAGAGCCAGGCTTCGGCACAAATGGACCGGCTCGACCGGAGTGATACCACGGCCTCACAGAAAACCGACTTGAAGCAACGCTTGTGTTGTGTTTCGTCGTGTGAGTGAGGTTATCGGAGGCCCAATTACCCTCCCCTTCCCCAATCTCCCCAATTCCTGAATCCCCAACGATCCTCAAAGTCCTAATCCCCAAAAGGCCGGCAACGCACATGTAACGCCTCTGGTGTTCCAGGTATCCATGGGTGACGCCGATTGCTTACCATCAGGTGATCCGTCTGCTTGTTTACCGGCTTATGCCATAAAAAAAAGAAATAATCCACAGATCATGTACACCGATTTTGTGGTGCCTTAATTGTAATCTTTAGGAAACAACTACAAGAACATTGGCCTTTCAAAAGAAATATAATATAATGATTAAAAACTTACACAGATCACGACAAGCATCGTGTTCTTCTATGGGCCGCGGTGGACGACACTGGTCTGCCCAGCGCTGGGCCTCGCGAGCCAGCTCCTCAACCCATTGCTAAACAATAAAATTGTTAATTCTAAAAACTAATCCTCACATATTTATTATTACCGTCTGTGACAGAAACTACTGCGTACACTGAGATCACAGTAAAGATAAACAAAAAAAAACTAAGATAGAAACAAATATTTTTAGTAATCAAGATCTAATCTCTATAATTAAGATATTCAGTTTTTATAATAACTATCGTGAGACATACTAAATTAACTAAAAATCACGAGTTACTCACGACTACGCGTAGGCTGCGCGACATCGCCGCGACCGGGCATGCTGCTCATGAGGAAGAACCCCTCTGTGGTTCGAAACTAGTAGTGTTTTTCTCAGTATATTCACGTGAGTTACCCGCCATTATTAGTTAAATAAGGTATACCGTCCTACTACAACATCTTCCATAACAAATAAATAAAAAATCTTACATATACATAGATTATCGTACCATTTTCAACATGTTCCCAGCTGGGGGGAATCCCAGTAATGCTCCGGATGCCGCTTCATTCCTGCGGCTATTGAGCCGGGCCACGATTCTCGTCTTCTCGTGTGTTCTAAGCCTGGCGTCTTTATACTGAACGCACTCAGAACTGGGGCCTTTCTGAATAATTCATTAAATAACTCGTTACAAGAACCTATAAAAGATATATCTAATAGATGACAACAACTGAAATCGAGTTTGATTGCGGACTACTGGCGAGGCCATCTCAGTACTGGACGAGAACAAGCTAATGTGTGGAGTTGTGTAGCAATCGTTTCATGAAAAATACTGACGTCCAATCGATTGCTGTTAATATTCAGAACCAACCTCAATATAATAAGATAAAAGCTAGATCGCCTTGATTAAAACAATTATCATACATTTACTTTCTTAAAGAAATTACGTTTGTAAAGAATTGACTAATTCAGTAATAATGGAAATCGAGTAAAGCATGCTGAAGTGGTTTGATCATGCTAAGAGGACGGACGAACAAAAGATATTATTTGCGAAAAGAATGGTGTAGGTGTACTTGCGACGTAGGCGTATACGTGCTTAAAACGATAGATACTAGAAAAGGCCAAGTGCGTAGCAGAATGGGAGCCAGGTTTGAGGGTAATGTATGTATGTGCGTATGCATCGTAGAATTGCTTCTATGACAGAAAGAATTTGTTAGAAGTTAAAGAAGTTTGTATGGATCGTACTAAGGAACGCTCTCTGTTTTCTGTGTACTCATAGGAGACAAAGGAGTACATTTGTCACTAATACTCATTATTATTTAGAAATCGGTATGATGACTGGGATGGATAGGGCTTAGATTGAAATCCCCAAGGGAAAAGAAAGCGTGGCCGTCCTCGACAAACCTGGCGTCGCACCGTACTGGCAGAAGCGACGAGCATCGGTATGACGTGAAGTGATGTGAAGCGTGAAGCTCAAGACAGATCGCGATGGAGGACTTCAGTGGACGCCCTCTGCCCCATCTAGGGGACACAGGATATTAAGTCAAGTAAGTCATGATAACATTGCAAGAGTTTTCAGGGCTGTTCAAATCCCTACGTCCCCTAAGTTTCACGATACCACGTAATAATACATTATTACTTACTGGATACCGACAGAAAGTATGTGTATTTCTGCCTCCACACATGCTGGCGCCGCAGTAGTTGACGGAACGGGTGGCAGCGAGTGCGAGTATACAGAACAATACGACCAAAATTCCAAACATTTCATTATAATAAATTAATTTTCCGCATTTTACTTTATTTCTTACACTTTGTGTCATTCGTGGCGTCTTTGTGTCATTCGTGTCGAGTCAAAGTTTTGGTTCCTTGGTTATGGTGCACGGGAACATTATTCAAAGAGTTTAAAAACTGTAAAGCCAAATGAAGATGATAGTTCCCGGTTCCCGGTTCCTGTCCGTGCGTATAAACCTGCTGGGCACTGGTGGACGCTGGTACTTGTGGTTAATGAAAAATTGTTTGTGGTTACATTTTTTACACGTCGCAAATAGTATTTTTTAAGATAGTACTTATTACTCTTTGAGATAGGGTGTTGGAGAGAATACACACGTGGATGAAGGTGCGGACAGAAAATGTATGTAGTGATGATGATAAAAAGAAAATGAAATAATTTTATCAACACCTCATATAATTGGGCCTCCGGTAACCTCACTCACACCACGAAATACAACACAAGCGTTGTTTTACGTCTGCCTTCTGTGAGGCCGTGGTATCACTCCGGTCGAGCCGATCTTTTCGTACCGAAGCATGGCTCTCCCATACAAATATGTATGTAAAGAACTATTAAAAAATAAAACAAATCACTTTGAATGTCAAAAACATATTTATATACAAAACCAACGTATTATTTATATAAAAACGACACAGTTATGTAAAATAAAAAATAAATCTAAAAAATGCACCTAAAAAATTATAAAAACAAAGCCAAAACTATAAAAAGTGACGGGGACAAACAGCTAGCTGTATTAACAATATCAATCACCTCTTTAGGGAAATTATCTGGATAATCGGCCATAGAAGGTATTAATTTTATGAGGGCCATTAATGGATGAACACTTTTTGCTGTTGTTGTGGATCGAGTCCATCTGTTTACAAGTGTTGTTGGTATTTCTTCATCATTTTCATCAGTATCATCATAATCTGGTAATTCTCTTCGTACCTGGTGTAAAACAGTAAATGGAATCAACAAGTGCTTTTCTATAATAACTATCGTGAGACATACTTAGATGCTTTTATGTTTAATTTTTGTCAACAGTATAGGTAGTTTAGGGCTCTCATCTACGGCAGTAGCATACTGTCGTCCTTTTAGTGAACCCGCAACAAGATAGATACAAAACGTCAAATGTCGTTGTGAGCGAGAGATCTTAAGTGCCTTTCCACGTGTACACAAATTACACCGGTATGTGCTACAGCTACAGTACATGGCCATAGTTTAATTATCAATATCATAGTTCATTTATAATTTCAGTTTCAGTATTACCTCAGGCGTTGTTTTGAAATGAACACTTAAAGTTAAATATTTTAATAACTATAATTACAGGTGATTTTTTATTAGAGATTCATATACAAAGCCATACGAATGTGCATCTTGTTTGTTGTTTCTTTTATGGCACAAGGCGGCAAACGAGCCGACGGATCACCTGATGGTAAGCAATCGGTGTCGGCAATGATTATGGAATACTAGAGGCGTTACAAGTACGTTACCGGCCTTTTGGGGATTAGGAATTTGCGACTTGTTGGGGGTTCCGGGGTAGGAGAGGTAACCTCACTCACAACACAACGCAAGCGTCGGTTTTCGTGAGGCCGTGGTATCACTCCGGTCGAGCCGGCCTATTTGTGCCGAAGCATAGCTCTCCCATACTTAAAAGTTAGACGTCTATTTTATTTCAAACGGATAGCAATAAGTTGTTATGAGTTACGTACCTTTCGCACCTTTCGCACCTTTTTTTTTCGTTTCCCTAATTGTAAATCACGTTCTTTTTGTTCCAAAGCCTTCTCCACTTCACGACGCGATTCAGCTGTGAACAAGATATAAGTAGGTACCTATTACCTAGACATTTGAAAATTATACAGATTTTCTAAATAGATAGGTGTGAGTTATACAAAAATACGGTAGTTGACATTAAAAATCTAATTAGTCCGTCAGTTAGATAATTAAAAAAATATTGTACACGTATTTTTTTATTTTCTCGTATAAAGTTACAATACTTAAATAAAATGGAGTTAAGTTTAGGAGTGGGAGGTCGTTACGTCACAACGTCCTACATTTTGTAGCACGCTGTGACATCACACGACATTTCAAATCATTGGCCAGGCTGCCTCGTTGGCCGAGTGGTCGCAAATGCGACTGCCGGGCAAGGGGTCTCAGGTTCGATTCCCGGGTCGGGCAAAGTATTACTGGTAAAAATCTCAGTACGGAGTCTGGAAATGTGTTCGGTATATGGCAATAGGCTCACCCCTATTACATGGGACTCATAACATAAATAGTGAAAAGTGGGTGTTACTTCTGTGTGCACCTCTCCCTTCGGGGATAAAAGGCGTCATGTTATGTTTTGTTGTATACATATAAACATTCCTTAAGAATCACTATATCTATTAAAAATCGGATCAAAATCTGTTCCGTACTTTTAAATATCTAAGCATACGTAGGGACAGACAGATGGTGGATAGCGACTTTGTTTTATACTATGTAGTGATACCCTGTCAACCTGTCATCATCCCTATTGTAATATTGCTTTGATGCGTTTCATATCTGCGTCTGTATAAAACGACCCTTTTTATAAACAAGCGTGATACTAACCGTAAACACAAAGGCCACTCCCTTTGAAAGATGGCCTTGAATGGCGTGGACAATGTGTAGCTGGTGCGCCAGGGCTCCATATCGCTTGTGTCGCTTGGGGCCCATACGGTGCTACGTTGCAGACTAGACGTTCCACAAGCTGGACACGACCTTGCCAAGGCGCCTGTTGACGATGAAAAATCACATATATACACGGTTGACCAAAGTTTACCATTACCGTTGAGTTTTCCAAAGGTAATGGCCAATTTTTAATGGGAGATTTTTAGTGTGGGAGAGCCATGCTTCGGCACGAATGAGCCGGCTCGACCAGAGTGATACCACGGCCTCACAGAAGACCGACGTGAAACAACGTTGTGTTGTGTTTCGTCGTGTGAGTGAACTCATAAAATTACGCTCGTTTGGATCACCCTTACTCGTGAGGTTGTCCGCAGCTCCGCAAGTCCTATCGTGTTCTCCGAGTGGTCCTGTTAGTGAAGACAGCCGCGTGTTTCTCGTGCCGTATCCAAAATAGATACCTTTCGAAACCGAACTTGGGAACCGGAAAATAGATACCTTCCGAAACCGGACCTGGGAACCTGGGAACCCGGTCATGGGTCTTATCACCCGATCTTATCGATAACAGCGAGCCTAACCTGAGACTTCTTGCATGACGGTGACTGTTATGCCACTAGTCCAAGGCAGGCATAGGGACTTGGTACGTAACACGTTGTTTTTGAAATCTAATCAGATTTCTTCATTTTAGAAACAAATGAAGGACATAGCATTGTATTATTATTTTATCGGCTTACTCGCGTAACTGTTTGACAAGGGACTCGACTAGTTTCAAGCCATGCTAGAGGCTCATATTCATGAGCAGCATTCCGCGACCCGCGACACATCGCGTCGCGCTGCCACTCAACACAGTCGCCGCGTCGAGTCAGTCAAGTTCCTCATCAGACAGTTACGTGAGTAAGCCGAAAACATAATAATTAAGAAGTATGTCATACGAAAGTTTTATGGACAAAGCATTTACCATAAATCGACTGCGACCACAGCCAACCATATAACTATTCGACCAAAATATTTGCGCAAAATCTCCATAGTATGTGCTATCATTACGTGGACTGAAAATAAATAGAAAATAATGTTTTATATGTAAAGATAAATAACTACATATAAAGCTACAACTAATGGGTGCTATCAGAGTATTATTCTTACTATCACATACATTCATAGAGATCGCAATGCGTAGTGAAAGTTACCTGCGGTAACAGCGAATGCATACTAGTATGCACTATAGCTTCTTTAGAGAAGCGATAGTGCAATTCGTACGTTTGCATTGCGAGCAATATCGAATCGAAGCCTTTTATCCCCGAAGGGGTAGGCAGAGATGCATATTTTGCCACAGTACAATGTAACAGCCACTGTTGAGGTC